CATTGGGCTCCCTGCTTGGCGGGAAGCCTGCTTCTCCCTCTCCCACTCCCCCTGCTTGTTCCTTCTCTTGCTGTCTCTCTCTTTGTCAAATAAATAAAATCTTTAAAAAAAAGAATATTATTGATACATTATATGTATCCACCTCATGAGGATTAATGAGGGATATTTTTCTTAAGATTCAGTAGTAGGAATAGTTTCCCTGTGAACAACTAGTTTGCTATGATCCTGTGAGTGGTGATGATACCAAGTGACAAAAAGCTCAATTGTGGCTCAACCAGAGTGATGATACTGAGCCCTAAGACTGCATTTTGCACAGGGGACTCATATATTTCCTATGCTCTGTTCCCTTTGAAATGATTTTCCCAAATATTCCTATTAAATGTTTTACATTTTAGCAATCTGCCTAAAATTATTTTTGAGTGGGAGAATAATTGATGTTATTTTCAATAGTTACTAAAACCATTACATTTCACAGAGAAGGAAACTAAAGCCCAACATCTATAAATAACTTTCTAAAGTCCACATAATTAGTAAATGTCAGGAGCCAAGTTCAATCCAAGGTTTCCTCTGTGGATTTTTCCAAAATATCAGGCAATTTCTTCAAGCAGTGAACAAAAATTTCCATAATATGAGACAAGTGTCATTTGTGATGTGGTTGCTATATCCTCTAAAAACTCAGAGGAGGTAAGATCACTTTCTGCAAGAGTGATCAGGGAAGGCTAGAGCTTGAAAAATGGAAAACTTAGAAGAGAGGGAATGGCAATGAGCAAAAATGTGGAAATAAAAAATATGAAAAGTACTGTAGTCTAGCTGCCTTACACTATTCCTTGTCGAGCCCAAAACAGACTCTGAATAGAGAAAAAGAGGGAAGCAAAGCATAAAATATAGATTTGAGTGACAAAATGGAGACCGCTTATTCTATTAGAAATTTGGACTTAATTTGAAGTAGCAGGGTGTCACGGAAAATTTTTAGCAGGATTCTCTAAGTAAGTTTCCCTAGAACCAGAGGCTAAAAAATGTGATATATTCATAGGGTCTCTCAAGTGAACCTGTAAGAGAGTAAAGGAAGCAGAAGACAGGGGAAGAAACTAGGCAAACATTTGGGTTCGGGTAAAGTCTACTCACAGCCTGATCTCATAAGGATCTCTGGAATGTAAATGACAAGTCAGAGTCTTATTTCAGTCAGTTACTAACTGAGGGCCAACCCAGGCATCTCTGGGCAGGATGGCTCCCAGTGGATTGAGCAATCCTTAGGAAAACAGTGAGCCCAGAAGCACCCAACCCTCACAGCACTTGAAGGCTTGGTCACACTGCCCCAACGAACAGAAACTGAGCAGGCACCAGTCATGTCTACTATATGGCATTTTAAAGGATGAACTGGAATGGTAGCAGCCTAGAGAATTAGAGACAGATATGAAAGGTAATACTATCTGAACCTGAATAGTGGCTGTGAGGCAAAACGATAGCTTCCCCAGAATGCCCACATCTTAACCCCCAAACCTGTGAATATGTTACATTAAATGGCAAAAGGGACTTAGCATGATTAAAGTTAAAAATGTTAAGATTCGATTATCCGGATTAGCCAGGTGGCCCCAACCTAATCACATGATCCCACAAAAGCAGAAAGCTTTTCCGGGCTACAATTAGCCAGAGATGAGATGTTTCTGGTTTTGAAGATGGAGGAAAAGGGTCATGCACCAAGAAATAGAGCAGCCTCTAAGAGCTGGAAAAGGCAAGGACACAGATTTCCCCTAGAACTTCACGAAGGAATGCACCCTATGAGACCTTGATTTAAGCCCAGAGAGACTCATGTTGAACTTCTAAACTACAGAAACATAAGATAATAAATTTGCATTATTTTAATTTGTTACAGCAGCAATAGAAAACCAATACAGTGGCTAAGGAAAGAGGAAGGACAAAACTAATGAAAAGAAATTGATAGAATTCCCACAACTAAAAATAAAAGCCTTAAAACTAACATTAGCCTCTGTTTTGTTTTATTGTTTCCATTTTAAGTAAGATTAATCATTCTTACTACCTTTATCAGAATTCACAAACTAACTTTGAAATCTGCAGGAAAAAAAAATCATTTCAAAGAAATGACAATTAAATATAATTGGAATAGGAGAGTAAATGATGGTACTTTATAAAGGTTAAGAAAAATAGATCTTTAGCAAACCCCCAAATTTTTAATGGAAGATTAAAAGGAAGAAACTTAATTGATTTTTATTATTACATTAAAGACATAGGTGTCAGGTCAACTCAAGTTGTAAATCATTCCTTTTGGGTTTTTTTAGTATCTGCCTGAGAGTCACATTTTCTTACTGAGAGAAATGCAGGACTGTGAGCTTAGTGGTCAGCAGAGAGCGCCATGGGGCCAACTCTCTCCCCAACCAAAGCTGTTTTCCAGGCAGGCAAAGAATAGTGGCTATGGCTCTGGCAGCCTGTGTTTGCCTTTTATTATCTGGGAACTCTCAAAAAATTAGGTATGAGAATGGGAACAATTTCTTTACACTTACATAAGTATTTTTAAATAAAAGTTTATTTATGACGATTATTGACATCTTCCCAGTAAAAATTAAAAATATTAAATGTACAATAAATTTCAGCAATTTCCATGAAGTCCTCAAAAATAGGAATATCAGGTAAGTAAATGAAAAATAGCAATTTAGTTAAATTGAAACTCCTTTCAGCTAGTACTTGGAAGAGAGAGGGTATTGGGGTACGGATGTGTCCTGAGGATGATACTAATCAAGGATCATGGCATCCACTGAGGGTGAGGGTGAAATCTATTTTCAGTTGAAAGAACAATTAGTATATTCTTTAGCTCACAAAAAAGGTGTAGACACCAACCCCACTGCTAATTAGAACCCAGAAGAAAGGAAGGACAAGGGCCAAGCAAAATCACACAAGTTCATATATGGCTCAGGCAGCCAGGCTTTGCAAAATATATTGGAAGGAGCAAATGAACCTAGAAATAGAGATGATGAGGTCTTTGTATTTAAAGGGAACACAGAATAAAAATGCAGGAGTAGGGATTATGAAATTTCTGCAAGTTGTAAGGAAGGTCATGGTATAAGAAGGAGGCCAGCTGGGGCAAAGACAATGATGGACAGAAAGAGGAAGAAGACTAGAAAAGCAAGACAAAGTCAAGAGACCACATCTGCCGCTTTTCCTACTTGCTATTATTTGTAGTCAAGATCTAGTTTTGCACAGAGTTAGTATAGATATAAGTTAATTTTTAAATATCATGATGGTTTGTTAACTTACTTAATACTTATAAGTATGTTGATAAATTTTACTTATTATTTAGTCAAACAGAAATGTATTTTTATGGTACAAAATTCAAAAGGTATAATCCTATTTGGAATAAAAGAGTATTAACTTTATTGTTTTTGTAAAAATAATACAATTATTACATTATAGTTTATTTTAAAATGTAATGATTCATAGAATCCCATTTTTTTGTATGATACTTTCTATCATTCTCTTTCTATCTGTGTATCTAGCCACCAAGCCAGCTGCAATATGTCTTCTGTTTAGAGAGATTTTGGGTCAACATTCACCAAATATTAATGGCTATTTCTAGGCGTTTTGCCCTTTTCAACTACATATCTGATGTCAGATTTTTTTTTTCAGCCGAAACAACATAACACAATGAGTGCAGAAGTAGTTATGAAAATGCAGAAATTTCCAATTAAGCCAGGCATTAAAGAGACTTTAAAAAATGTAAGTAATGTAATGTTCTCACAAATACCTTGTTTTGGCAAATAAAGTATTTTTCATAAAAAATGTTATCTTTGTTAATATAATGGCTTTATCACTGCTATTTTTAAAATGAACAACATGTACATTTTTTAGAAGTCTTAATTTCTTACACGGTAAATATCGATAGATATAATCTACACAAACCAAAGCCTCTTGAGGCCCTCTGTCATAAGAATGTAGAGGGGTCCTGAGACCAGACCAAACCAAACCAAACAAAAATGACAACTTCTATCCCAACGACTCCTAAATGTATAACTAAATCAAGTCTCTCATGAGTAATAGTGCATATAAATATGCTTAATATACAACTAAAAATAAACAAGCCAAAAGAGAACTCTTACTGTTACTGCCATCTGCCTAATCTGCTTTTCCCCAGTTTTTCCTATTTTGATAAATGGCACTACAGTGTACTTAGTTGTTTATCTCCCAAACCTAGAAATCATCATTGACTGATTCTTTTTTTAAAAGATTTTATTTATTTATTTGACACAGAGAGAGAGACCGCGAGAGAGGGAACACAAGCAGGGGGAGTAGGAGAGGGAGAAGCAGGCCTCCCGCAGAGCAGGGAGCCCGATGTGGGGCTGGATCCCAGGACCCTGGGATCATGACCTGAGCCAAAGGCAGACGTTTAACGACTGAGACACCCACAAGCCCCCCCTTCTTTTTAAGATTTTATTTATTTATTTGTGACTGATTTCTTCTACAACTCCCCACATCGGGTACACGTAACAAGTTCTACTGACACCACTGTTAAAATACATTCTTAATGATGTCACTTCTCACCACCTTCACAACTATCACCCCAGTAAAGATACCATCATATTCTCTTCATACCTTGGAATTTAAAAATAAAACAATACAAAAACTTACTAAGTTTTCCAAAGGATAGCTATAGAAAAGTATAAGTGTCTTCCATATCCTCATCTTCACCATCATGTACAGAAAAAAATATTTTATGTAATATAATATGATCAGTTTTCTTTTTTTTAAGTACAGTGATTCAGTGAAATTCAGTTTTCTCTAACCAAATTCTAAAACTCCTGACTCTGAAGAGTAGGTGATATATATACTTCATGCAATAACTTTCATAAAAGAATCAAAGCATATAACTGGAAGTTTTGAAAAGTTAGCACCAAATAAATTATATTTGAAGACTTTATGTTTCAGGTAGTCTTTCATTTAGACAGTGAATTAAAATAAAATGTAAATTCTATATTTTCTTTTCAACTTACCTTATCGAGTTCATCTGAAATTGCAATACCTGGGATTCAAAAGAGATGTATAAAAAAGTTTTAGAAGAAGTCTTTAACAACCCAATGTTAGAAACAAAAACAAAAGTTCTATTTGTAAAATTAGTACATTTTCCATTCTATTTTTGGCTTTTATTAGTGCTTCAAAATAATGTGGTATGTCCTTTCTACTAACAAAACAAATTAGGAATTTAAGTCAACTATAACAGCATGAACTGCTGAAACAGTGCAAATGTGTGACAAAAACAAAACAAGTACCATACTGCTTGCAGATTGTTAAATACAGAGCAAACATGCAAAGACAAGTGTAGAGATGACAGTCAAGTATAGCTTAGCATGCTATAATTTTGGTCCTTCTGAAGAATTGATTTAGACTCCTAGAGTGATAAAATATTATAGCAGAACAGTGGTTGGAGATCATTGATTTTAATTCCCTTATTCTACAACTGAAAAAACAGAGACCAGAGTTAAAGGGATTTGTCCCATATTCTCTTAGGTTGACAACTTCTTGAGCCAATGGATAAATGATTCCTCCTCACAAGTTCGCCTTCAAATCATCCACGCATTTCTCATTGTATATCAAATTTCTGTCTTTCCTATTCCTCCAAAATTGGTCTAAGTCAGCAATGTAAAAAGTTTTAGTCCTTAATTTATTTATCTGTGATAACAGGCTCTTTTAACCTCATTCTCCTCCTTGAAATGCTGCCCTCTCTCTTCATTCTCTTTGTCGTCTTCACAGGAATCCTCTTTTTTGGGGGTAGGGAGTCCTTCCCTGAAATGCCTAGGGTTCTTTGCTGAGCTGTCTTTTCTTTTCACTAATATGCTTCCCGTGGTAATCTAACTCATACCAGTGACATTTTTATTTCTCTATACAGTGATGGCCAGCGAATCTTTATCACCAGCATAGACTTTCTTCCTGAGCTGGTTGCTGAGTCCCTGTGGGCATTTCAATCTTGACATGCCAGGTTAAAGACATCATCCTCCCATCTCCTCACTTCTTCTTTTGAAAAGTGGTGTGCCTATGGCTGAACACACTGTGACCAGGCACAGGAGTAGGTGCAGCCAGCCCTCAGGTTTGAGGCAGAGGGTAAGGGGAAGCTGGTGTCAAACCCCAGTGTAGGATGGGCCAAGAGACAAGGAAAGTTCTAAGGTTTCAAGTCAAAGGAAACACAGAGAAAATAAAAAGAGCTTGAAGCCAATGTTCAGCAGGCTATTAATAAAGCCCAAGAAAGAATGAGCTGGGTTAGAAAAAAGAACCTGAAAAGAGTAGCAAGAAAATAAGTCTGAGTAAAAATCCCCTCACCTGATCCGGTACAGAATGTCTGTATAGAATTTCTGTCCTTTGTCGATTGCTATATATTATTTTGCTGTCCACTGACCTAATAAATCAATTATACACAAAGTAGAAAAAGATGCCCTACTTCCTCTCAGTAAGCAGCATAACACTTCCCCTTGTAGATAAAACTAAAACACAGGTGTATTTGAGACACATTCTTCATTGCAATACTCTATGAAATTCTTTTTTGGTAAAAGTTATTGTAACTAAGAATTTTTATGTGTCACTATGCTAAAAAAGAGTCTAGCTACCACTATTGGGATTTTGGGGGACCTAACTTAACAATTATTCAAGGACTTGCGGTATTATAAAGACAGCTCAAGGAGAGACGACAACTTCATGAAGGAGCACCACAGCTGGGGTGTGCAGTGAACTCCGAGATACAGTGGTACTGCAGTAGGGGAGCATATGCCGACGGATGAGGGACCCCAAAGCTCTGCGCAATTATAAACATGTCTAAAGGCCTCACAGAAGTCACACACTTATGAATGTTTGGGTTTAAAAAATATTTACAAATATGAATGTCACTTAGAATGACTCTAATTTCAAGCTAATGTAGGAATTTCAGAGTATCAAGTGATTTACGTCACAGTCTATAGAAGATTTAAAATACATTATTCTGGTTTATAGAAGCCAAATATGCATTTTAAATGCTTGGTATTTACGTTTATTATAGTACTGAAGAAGTGTTCCTTTCCAGTGAGTTCAAGATTAAAATTGAACATATGGTTTAAAAATAAATATTTAAAAGACTTAATCTATTTTTAAAAAGAGAGAAAAAAGATATACAAAACAAAACTCTCTTTCTCATCCAAAGTCATAAAACTTAGCTATTTAGAATTAAATAATCTATGATTCAGTTGACTGGGATCTTTTAAACTCTCTTGACTTTTTCAACTTTCTGCATTAATGCCCTTGGCCCTGCAATGAGTTTTCTCATTAGATTGTTAGAAATTGTTCAGTTGATCCTTAAATTTTTTATCCCTCATATTTATGAAATCCATTATTCATAAAGATAATAATACTTCACCTATCTAGAATGTAGCCAAGATCTAGCAAGTAAGTCAAAAGGCCTTTGAATAATGAGAATACATGGCACAGAGTACTTGCCTATCACTTATGAGCTAGCTCCTTTCAGCATATGTTTACTGTCCATTACTCTTGATTTTAGCACACATCAGGAGCTTTTTTGCAAGACAAAGAAATATTTGCCAGTGGAAACTGGAGATAAAGAGAAGGTTGCCATGAAGAGATACTGAAGTACAATGAAGTGACAGGTCCCAGAATAAACCTCAAACTAGCTAAACAGGAAACGTTGTTTGGGAAAGGAATTATGCCTCTAATTATTCCAGGTGTTTGGTCTTACATATTTTGTTCAAATACCTATTATTATATTTTCCTAACATTTATATATTTTGATGACTTTTCCTAATAAATTATTTAAACAAATCCCCACTCTCTTATATATATAATTCTATCAGCTCCTTATTATTTATATCAAATTGTATAGGAAATTTCTCACTTTTTGTTATTTCATTTTTAATCAAAGCTTAAACTGATTAAAAGCAGTTGAAAGAATGCTAAAGAAATGCTCCTTTACAGAAACATGAAGCCGTGATGAGAACAATTCATATCGAGGAGCCGAGATTTTTTTCTCCTAGTGCCTAGCAGAGCATTCACAGCTATTCCCTTTGAAGAGATTAACAATGTTTGGCCATTTCATTAACTCATAAAAGCCTTCATATCTTAAGTTATATTTTTTAAGTTTATAGAAGCTGAGAAGATGTGGGGAACAGAAAGTAAGATACCCTGGAAAATATGCAAGAGGAAATATAGTGGGTTACTCTAATACGTTGTAAGGAAAGAAGGCCCAAAGTGCAACTCTTGATGCATACTGGCACACACGGTCTTCCTAAAAGTCAACCTTAAAGGAAACATTGTCCTATCAGAGTAGCCAAAGAGGCTTGGTTTAGGGTAGCAATGGTGTCCAACTTACAGAAGTGGGCTGCCTATAAGAAACTGGGGAAAATGAGTGCCTTCAGAAACTAAGCTTTTCTTCTAGATAAAGAGGCAAGGGCTACCACAGGCATGTCAGAGGTGGCTTCCTGGTTCTGCTGTAGTGCAACCCTATCTGGATGGATTCCATTTGTGTCCTTCAGCTTATGGGCATTTCCATTTATTCTAATCTCCAAAGAGGTCTCAAAGTATCAGAAGTTTATGCCAAAACACGGTTCTCACATTCCTAAGTTTGAGCTGTGCTCTATCAAGGAAACAACAGCTTTTCTGCTTCATCAAGATGTGCATCTTCCCAGGTATCAGCTTAGCCCTAGAGTTCAAATTCAGCTGTAGCTACAAAAAATGGAAGTAGAAACTTTTCAAAAGTCTTTACAGTTTAGTCAGTGTAATTAACTCACGAGAGTAGGTCAGAAAATTGATATGGTATGAAATGGAATGAGCTATTTCTCCAAAATTTGTTTCCCTGTGGAAAAAAATCCCAAACCGGCCCAAACTGGCTTGTGAGAACCAATTCTGCACATTTCTTCCCAACTTCTCATTCAGTACTAATTGGTAGCCTGAAATTAGCCATGTGGGAGTACTTATACCATGGAAATTGGCAAATGCTACAAATTAGGGATTATTTTTTGAGTCACTGTCCCAGCACACTATGGAGTAATGCATAGTGTTAAAGCAAATACCTATGTAAGCATCACACATATCAACAAATTGAACACTGCTCATACCTCAGACCTATCCCTGACCATTTGCCAATTAAAACACTCTTTAGATAGGTTGCTGACTGCTTTTAGAGCAAAGGGAATTCCTGCTACAAAGTGAGGGATTCTACCTTCAATTTGATTACCAAAGAACAAAGTTGGAAAAATTTTCTGTAAGGAGTTAAATAGTAAATACTTCAGGATTTTCAAGTCACATATGGTCTGTGTCATATCCATACATTTCTTCTTCTTTTTTTAAACAACCTTTAAAAATGTAAGAAACATGCTTATTAGCACATGGGCCACAAAGACAGACCACAGGCTAGATTTGGCTCCCTGGTCAGAGTTTGCTGAGTTTTTTTCTAGAAACATATACCAATTTTTATCCTTGATTAATTGACTCTTTCAGTCTTTGAAGGACACTTCCAAACCTTAAGGGTTTTCATCAGGCCCCTACCCATCTCTTCACTATAAAAGACTTGCTCACTATTAAAGGACTATCAGATTTACTCTCCCTGGATGTTCTGACCCATCTTACCCCCTTAAACAAGCCATCTACACTGTTCTCTCTAATCTCAGGGATGATATGTTCTTTCCCCTAGGAAGACCCATCTCCACATCTGTTTCTTGACTCCAACCCCATCTACCTTCTCTGGTATTTGCTCCATCTATTATCTTCCTTCTCTGTCCTGAATCTGCAAGTTCTTTATTTTGGTTTCCTCTGATCATCCTAAAACCCATTACACATTTACACAGAGACACACATATTCTCTGTAATCACCTCTCCTGTCTCTGTTACACACACCCACACACGCACATGCACATGCGTGTGTACATGCACAAAACTAAAGAAAAACCAAACCAAAATGACTCAAAATCCTAACATCCTTTACCTTCCTCCACTAATTATGTTCTCTTTCAGACCTTTCCTTTTCTCATCAAAACTTTTCAAAGCATCATA